GTGAGAAGAGATGCTTGACCAATATGAGATATATGCATACCTGCTCCATTTGCAGTGTGGATTTTGTCGGAGCCATGGTAGGGTTCGCGAGTATGGAGCTTGCCCATCTCACTCGTCAGATGCTCCGTGGCCCCAGAGTCCATGTACCAGTGGGGATCAACAGAGTAGGACTGAGTGTGCCCTTGCTGCTTGGTGGACACTGGGCGATCCGCCATGGCCACCTGACGCGCAAAGTTGCGCGTGTCCTTGCCATCATTGCCAAGACCCAGAAAGCTCTTCTGAAAGCGTTTGTGGCACTTAGAGGACCAGTGCCCCTCAACGCCACATAGTTGGCACACGCGCTTACCACCAGCCCCCGGTAATGTCGCGGTAGCAGGGGGGCCGAGGCAGGCGGCGATGGCAGCCCCAAAGCAGTCCTCGGTGATTAAGAAGGGCGGCCACCCTTGGTGGCAGCGTTGGCCGAGAGGGAGCCCCCACTGCCCCTGGAGCGGCGCGACTCGACCCGCTGTTCCATAAGAAGGAGGCGGAAAAAGACCTCATGCGCCATCATGGGGTTTGAGTTGCCCCGCTCGTTCATGATCTCGACCAAGGCGTCGTACTCCTCATCGAGACCATTGACAATGAACGAGTTAAACTCGGAGTCGGTGAGGGGCTGTCCGATGGAGGCCAACGTGTCGGTAAGGCCCTTGACCTTGTTGTAGAACTCGGTGGCCATGGAATCCAGCTTTTGACACTCACCAAGCTGGCGACGAAGCACGGAGACACGAGCCTGTGACTGCGCCGCAAACGAGCACTCGAGGATGGTCCATGCCTCATGAGACGTCTTGGCGAAGACAACAAGTCCGGCAACAGCCGGAGTGAGCGACCCCTGGATGGAGGAGAGGTTCGCCTGGTCCTGCCCTGTCCAAACACGGTGTGCCGGATTGTAAACTGGGCCGTGCACGCTATCCACCAGCGCAGGAGGACAGGGGAGAGAACCATCGACGTAGCCCAGGAGATAATGACTCTCGAGAAGCGGGAGAACCTGCGCACGCCAGAAGATGTAGTTGTCTGCCGACAACTTGATGGGACTGTTGCTTGGTTGGCTGCCTGTATGGCTGTTGCTCGTGCGGATCCTTCCTCTGAGCCTCGTACGTATCAGGCTGCTCTGAGTATACTTCATTGGCGAGAGGCTATGGAGCAGGAGTATCATGCTCTTCTCCGCAACAAGACATGGCGGCGGTGCGATCTGAAGGACAGCGGCGGCGCAGCGCAGATGACAGGAACCGCGGCGGCTAGGTTAGGGTTTTAGGCGGAAGCGTGTTTACCTAGACTGATACCATGTAAGACAATAGAATTGGGGGAACTGGCTCAACCCTCTAGGGTGGCCTATCTCATATATATATATAATGAAGAGGTACAAGTTACATCATACGTATGTGTACGTATACAACTACAGAGACTATACAGTCTAACAGTGTGTGCCAAGTGATCGAATCAGAGCAAGAAATCATCAGCGCTGCAGCCTTGTTGGTAGTCTTACATAGCTGAGCAACGCAGATGAAGCAGAGTCTGCACTCTGCAGTGCTAGTGTTGCTTAGCGGAGCAAAGCAGAGGAAGCAGACTCGCTAGTGCTAGTGCTAGTGTAGTCTTGGTTGCAAGTGTGAGTATTTCACTGGCATGTTTTTCAGTAGTGCGAGTGAGATTCTTAGTTTGGCCATCAATTAGTGTTCATTATGATCACAATTGATCAATTAATGCAAGGGTTTTGTTTCATGTAAAAACATTGGATCTGATCAGTCTGATGTATGCAAGCATTTGCCATTGGATCTCTTTCTATGTTTCCATCTGATGTATGTTCCTCCTACTAACATTACCATGAATAATAGCATGCACACGATTCCACCAAGAAATTCTTTTGTGAACTATTCCAAGTGACTGTATTTTAGGAGAGGAACAGATATGTGTGCTCTACTCCCTTGAGAAAAGTATACACCTCAACAATGCACAATTTATTTGTCGCATCAAGAAGGCGCCAAAATGCATGTTTCCTGAATCATACTCCCTCCGTTCCTAAATACTTGTCTTTCTAGGCATTTCAACAAGTGACTACATACGGAGCAAAATGAGTGAATCTACACTCTAAAATATGTCTATATACATTCGTATGTAGTAGTCATTTGAAATGTCTAGAAAGACAAATATTTAGGAACAGAGGGAGTACATGCATCACTGTTACCAACAGCTCATGTATACTTGCTGTCTGAATTTTGCAACTGCTGCAAATTTCGTTCAGTACAATTGCTGTATATGCCAGAACAGTTTCATGTCACACTGCAGAGCAAATCAATACTTGCCGCAACTCATGTATACTTGCCAAATTTGGCAAATTTCGTTCCACACAAATGGTGCCAGTATCAAATCAAACCACATGTCACGTCATAGAGGAAATGCATACTTGACGACAATGGCAATATCTGAATTCACATATTCACTGACATAAACCCACTGGATTAGAAGGGAATTTACAATGCCTGATACATAATCTGAAATTATAGTAACAGCTTCAATCAATTACAAGGGGAAATTTTGGCAACATTCACAGGTGTTGCAGTTCTTCCTCTTCCTCGGCACCTTCAAGCGTCATCCGCAGCTTTTTTCCTCCTGCAGCGAAATCAGGAGTGCCCATTTTTGACACGCTGGGAAATGACATGACCAAGGAGGAGAATAATCAATACTTCAAAGTGGCACGGAGGAGAAGAATCAATAATTGAAACAAAAGAGAAAGGGCTTACCCATGGTTTTTATCCATTGCATTTTGCCGATCAATACTTCAAAACTTCCAGCAAGACATTCAAAATACTAGCCATCGCGGTCGGTGTGACGCTACTGATAATAGTTCTTACCCTATGACAGCCCGCACACTGCACGTCAAACCGGGAGTACCTTCTTTAGAGGCTATGGAGTACCTTCCCTGTACAACGTGGGAGGTGATGAACAATCCGGTCACGGTCAGTGTTGGCCCGAACTAGCAGAGTAGCTAGTTGTCCGAGGATCAACCAAGTCTAAACTACAGCTAGTGTAAACTAGTAGAGCACACGGTGCTGCTCACACACACACACTAGTAGTGAAGCTGGTACACTTATGAGTAGAGGAGGAAACTGAAGTGGCTTGTTTCCTTGATTTGATCGGAATGGAATGCTACAACCGGATGGGGTGCAGCCTCTTATATAGTGCTTATAAACCGACTATGGGCTAAAATATCTGCTAGCTCTTAGCTAAGCACTTACGTCACAGACTTACCTTAACTAGTAAGCTACGGCTTCTTACCGACTTGCCGACCTGCAGCTGTGTATGGCTATGTTGCTGCTGTTTTCACTTCGTAGCTAAGTTACTACTGCCGACATGCAACTGTACCATTTTACTTCTAGGCTAAGTAATTTCTACTGCTGCCGCTCCATGGAAGTTACCCGAGACAAGGTTTAACTCAACAATCTCCCCCTCAACCTTGTCGAAGGAGCTTCGTGTCGATGATCCCGACCTTGTCGCGCAGATTCTGGAATTGGACGCGGCCAAGTGCCTTCGTCAGGATGTCTGCCTTCTGCTCACCAGTCCGGATGAACTCCACGATCACCGTGCCTTTCTCGACGCAGTCACGTATGAAGTGATAGCGGAGATCGATGTGCTTGCTGCGGTCGTGAAGCACTGGATTCTTACAGAGGGAAATCGCCGACTTGTTGTCGACGAAGATGAGCGCAAGGACGGTGTCCTGATTCAGCATCTCGCCGAGAAGGCGAGCAAACCAAATGCCTTGACAGGCCGCTGTAGCTGCCGCGATGTACTCCGCCTCGCATGAAGATACGGCGACAACTTTCTGCCTCACCGATTGCCAGCTGACGGGACTGTTCCCGAGAAGGAACAGTATGCCCGAGGTGCTCTTTCGGGAGTCCACGTCACCAGCATGGTCGGAGTCGCTGTACCCGACCAAGCTCTCGCCGTCGCCACGACGATACACGCATCCATGCGTGAGCGTACCCGCGATGTACCGAAGCAGGTGCTTGACGGCAGCGAGATGATCGCTTGCCGGGGCTTCCATGAACCTACTCAGGTACCCGACAATGAACGTGATGTCCGGTCGGGTGTGCACGAGGTACCTGAGGCTCCCGATGATGCTGCGGTAGAGTGTAGCATCCACCGCCTTCTCGGAGCTATCCTTGCTGAGCTTCAGCCGTGCCTCCATTGGAGCGTGCACGGCATGGCAGTCCTTCATGCCTGCCATGTGGTCGAGTGGGCCTGGTGCAGGTTGAACCCACGGTTTCAATCCATTTTCCTTTTTTTTCTCCTCAAACCAAACCGCCCCGATTCAGTCCACTTAACTTCTCGGTCCACCCCGCTCCAGCCCATTATAAATTTAGCAACCATTTCAGCCCATCCAAACGAGACCATGTACCCACACCAAAACATCCAGTTCAACCCGCCCCATTCCCAGATTGAAGTGTGTCCATATCACCAGGGCTCTCTCCACATATGGTTCCAATCAAAATGGCCAAAATTGTTTATTTTCTGACAGTGACTGCTATAACAGCAGAGAAACTTGTACTTCAATACATACTGGTGGTAGGATAAAATAAATACAACATGACCAACCATACTTACCCAGCAACCCGCGTATTCTTGTAGGTACCCTTCTCTCAAGAGTTGACTTATAATTTTATCATTTGCAGTACACACCCAGTTTCAACTACTTGCAGAAATTTCAAATTAGTTGATTGCATCCATTTGCACGGCTTCAGACTAAGTCACTGCTCCTCTTCAGTCTTCAGCTTCCAAAAGTATAGCTTTCCTCAAAACAAGAGGAAATCTTAGCTACCTATTTGCACATGTTCATCCAGTTTACATAAGGCGCCGAGCCATTGAGTACCACACCATCATCCGATTCCTGTTTTCCTCATGGCTTCAGTACTAAAAATCTCAGGCGGTTTTTAGTATTGTTCAGAGCAGTACAACTAGCCAGATGGTTTTCAGGCGAGATTCATGAGAACACCCTTCCTCGCCCAGAAACAGAAAAGTTTATCCATGCCTTTCCTTGGACTTGCTGCTCGCCTCCTACTCTTCTTTGCCTCTCCTACCAGCTTCTGCACGGAGCAGGAGAGTAGCTCTCTCATCAACTTCCTAGATGGGCTCATGCCAGATGGCAACGGTGATCTCAACGATTCATGGGTGAATGGTACAGACTGCTGCAAATGGGAAGGCATCATCTGCAGCAGCGATGGGACAGTCACAGATGTCTTGCTAGCCGCCAGAGGTCTTAAAGGGGGCATCTCGCCATCCCTCGTCAATCTTACAGGCTTGTTGCACCTAAACCTGTCCCATAATTCGCTCGAAGGCAGTCTACCAATAGAATTAGTTTTCTCCAGAAGCATTATTGGCCTCGAAGTCAGCTTCAACCACCTCAAAGGTCATCTACAAGAGATGCAATCCTCAAACCCCAGCCTTCCTCTTCAGGTACTGAATATCTCAAGCAATTCCTTCACAGGACAGTTCCCATTAACAACATGGAAGGTGACGAAGAATCTGGTTGCTCTTAATGCAAGCAATAACAGCTTTACAGGACAAATACCATCTTCTATCTGCATCAATGCCCCATCATTTGCGATGCTTGATCTCTCATATAACCAATTCAGCGGCAATATTTCTCTGGGGCTTGGCAGTTGCTCTATGCTGAGAGTGCTCAAAGTTGGCCACAACAACCTTACTGGAGCTCTCCCTGACGGACTCATCAATGCTACCTCACTGGAGCACATCTCTTTAGCAAACAATGATTTGCAAGGAGTTCTTGATGGTTCCCATATATTCAAATTAAGCAGTCTGACTGTCCTTGATCTTGGATCGGCTGGTCTCAGTGGCACGATTCCAGCTTCTGTCGGCCAGCTAAGAAGATTAAAGAAACTCTAGTTGGATCACAACAATATGTCTGGTGAACTGCCATCGGCCCTAGGTAACTGCTCAAATCTCGGATACATTACCCTCAGAAACAACAGTTTTACCAGGGATCTTAGCAAAGTCAATTTCACCATGTTGGATCTGAGGACAGCTGATTTTTCATTGAACAACTTCACTGGTACAATTCCTGAAAGTATCTACTCATGCACCAACCTAGTTGCGTTACGCCTGGCTTTCAATAAATTTCATGGCCAGTTCTCACCAAAGCATTGGAAATCTCAGGTCCCTCTCCTTCTCAATTACCGGCAACTCTTTTACAAATATCACAAATACACTTCAGATGCTCAAGAGATGCAAGGATCTCACCTCCCTGATGATGGGAACCAATTTCAAGGGTGAGACCATACCACATGATGAAACATTTGATGGTTTTGAGAATCTTCAGGTATTGACGATAGATGATTGCCCATTGACTGGACAAATACTCTTTGGATATCAAAGCTTGCAAAATTGGAGATGCTAGATTTATCATTAAATCAACTCACTGGACAAATACAATTCTGGATTGATGAACTGGGCTTCCTGTTCTTTCTAGATATATCAAGCAACAAACTTACAGGGGATATACCAGCTGCATTGACAAAGATGCCAATGTTACTATCAGAGAGAAATGCTGCCAAGTTGGACACAAGGTTCCTTGAGTTGCCTGTATTTTGGACACCATCACGTCAATACCGGACGGTGCTTTTCCCAGCAAATTGTGTCTGGACAACAATAATTTTACTGGTGTAATTCCCCCTGAGATTGGTCAGCTACAAATGCTCGACATCCTGAATTTAAGCTCCAATAGCTTAACTGGTGAAATACCACAAGAAATCTGCAACCTCACAAACCTGCAAATTCTTGATCTGTCGAACAACCAGCTCACAGGTGAAATAGCACCAGCCAGCCTGGTAACCCGGCGGAAACTGCATTTTAAACTTCTTTGTCATAATTTCTTGTGTATGCGTGTGTCGATCTTGGTCCTTGGCTGATTGATAGGTTGATTCTGATCAAGTGCAAGGTTGTAAATGTTCCATCGGATACCTTGTAGCAAAATCATGTCCCTCCCTTTCTCATCCAAAGGCCCATAAGCCGTCAGTGCACTCAGATTCCAAGATACTGGCAACATACATCTTACGACTGAGGACTCACATTACCTTGGAAAAAAGATTCCGAGATCTGCTCTATGAGGCAAGAGGCGATCATGGCAGTTGGCAACTGTAGGAAAGCATCTACCTGATGCACAGCCAGCAAAGGTTTGGCTTAACCACATTCCTCACATTCCTCCAACTGCAACACGAACACCCTGCAACCCTGCAGTTCAGCTAACATAATAAATCTTCCCCAACACAAAAACAAAAGGAACATATCATATGAGCTGTAATGTTCATCGATCAACCTAGATAAATGGTAGCAAGCAAGTTTCCCACAAGTCGCACAGCGGTAAATGTTTACAGGTCCATGTAACACAACATTCAACAACCAAATCTCTAGCTACATCGGGTCTCACACATGTCACACAGCGAAAGCGCTATGCAAAGATGCATTCCATATGCAGAAGAACGCTTGGCGCAGCATCCTAGTACGTCTTGACATCGATGTGCTTGACACATCTTGCATTGGCAAGCAGTATAGCCTTCAACACGGGAAGCCTGTCCTCCTCTTCGGCGCAGTGGATCGTTACCTTCTTAAGGCTTTTGGCTTGGAATGATATTCCCTCAGCCATTTGAAGCGGCTGCTTTTGCTCTTCACAGTCAAACTGAAATTTTATATAAGAGTAGAACATGTTAATAGGAATTCCTGTCTTCAGCGAAGAAAATAGACAAGGACAAACACTGAGTGTCTTCAACCACCTTGAGCTTCAGATCAAGATTCTCAAGCATAGGAGAGTGCTCGAGGAAGCAAGCTAGAGGAGCAAATTTGTTGGAAAGACACCATTCACCAAGAATGAGACTTGTCAGACTGATGAACATTGAGCACCTTGGAGTCATTCTATCGAATGCGACCTTCACATATGTCAAACAAAATAAGAACAGATTCTAAAGAAACAAATATTTCAGACATGTACAAAAATTAAGAAGCACCCATACATGTCTCACTGGTGTTGGCAGTTCTATGCTCTTGGCGTTTGAAAGATCACATAGGATTACTGCTGATGTAGTTCGAACTATGTATTTTGGAGTGCACCTGCATCGAGTGTCCTTGAAGCATAGCGAGACCAGCTTGCCAGTACGAATCAGAAGATGATTCAAAACTAAGCAGTTTATTATTTCCAGAGTCTTCAATGAACTTGATGAAATCTCAGGACAATAAAGAGTGCTGTCTGCCAACTGCAGATTTTCCAAAGACGTGCATTCACGGCTGAGCTGATCAAAGACAGATGCAACTATTATAACATTAGTGAGCTTCACAGTTCGCAGATATTTAGAGCTAAAGTTGATAGCTTTAGGATCTAAGTAAAAAGCTTCCCATCTTGTATTTTCAGTGAAATCAATCGATTTAACTTCATGAAGTCTGATAGCATCACCGATCCAATACTTGGCTGCATCAATTGCAAAAGAGTGAAGGCGGAGTTTGTCCAATGTATTAGCATTACCCCGCCGCTCAAACAAACTTTTTGCAAACTTGTTGAACTTTACTCTGTCCGTATCAAAGTGATCAATATCGATATCAAGGCATGGCGCTGAAGTCCATAATGGGGGCGATCTTCGGAATAGCATGCTTGTGCGTACAACGTCCTGTGCTGGCATGAAGGACATGATACAATGGAGTATGCTCTCATGAAGGACGCTAATCCTATCATTGTCATCACAGCAAGGCTTCTCTTCATTTCCTATAGGCGCTTGTCAAACAAAAGGGTAGATTAGACATGAATCACAAGTTTGCTATTAGCTGCATGAATGATGCGACATGCAACTCCAAGAAACAAATATCCTTTTTTAAACGCATTTGAAGGACCTAATGACAACAACTAAAATCATGAAGGGGCATACCTGTTGCTTTTGTATTATCACCAGATAGCATCCTCTGGAGGTTGCTCTGTACCTGAATGCTTTGATTCTGTGGATCACTAAAAATTCCTCGCAGAAGCGTCGCAGTTGAGGGTTCAAGCATTTGATAATCTGATGAAATTTCCTCAAAATGATCATCCGATGAGATGTCCTCAAAATGATCATCTGATGAAATGTCCTCAAAATGATTATCTGATGATATGTCCTCAAAATGATCATCCTCTAAATGATCCAATCTCGTATACAGCTTATAATTATAATCAACCTGAGAATAAAAACACACACCAAATCTTTTAGCTTGAAGTCTAAATAGACATTCCTTCAAAAGCTCAGGGGAAAAGAACATTAAAAGAAATAAACCTTCCTCCCATCCTGTGAAATACAATACCAGTATTCACAAGGTATGCAGCAAACATACTAAATACTATGATTCACAAGACATAATGGAATGATAGTTGACTGAAGAATGAGCTGTACTTATGGCGAGTACTCAAAATATTTTTCGTATAAATGCAAAAGGTTTGTGTATCATTTCATTGCTATGTAGGGTTGATAAAGAACAATCAGCGCACACAAATGCACACATGATCGCTCGTCCAAGCGGTAGCACGCACACACTAAACCCCAGGGAGGACTATGCACGCCCCTTTCACCCCCAGTCTACTCCATGCCTATGCATCGTCATTGATAGTCTGCACTGGAGGATGAATGGCTGGGAACCACTGAAGGTGCAGTTGTTCCATTATTGCCACAACCATCAATATCAATTAAGTGTGGTGTCCCTCAGGACCTTCCCGGACCAAAGCCACCAACTAGGCTGAGAATGCCTCATCGCCATTGGTTCGTGGTAGTTATGCCCTAGTATACTCTATTGGTATCCGAGATTTCCCTGGATAAGCTGTGAAGCCCAGATCATATGATAAGCTGCTGAGCTTGAGACTTTCATAGACTAGTAGCCGGAAGTACTCCTGTTCTAAGCTTTAACATACCGATCAGCATATCAAGATCCGTAAAAAGTCAATGAAATGTTACAGAGATGGAATATACCTCGCTAACAGCTACTATGAAAATCATTCTCTCTAATCTGACAGCAACATTCAGAAGATCAGTCAATGTCTCGGGCTCGTCTGGCGACAGTGCTTGCATCAGAGCCTCTGATCTGTACAGATAACATTAAAAAGTAATGAGATATGTGATACATCTCGTGCACTTTCAAGTTCAAACAGTAACACCCAAAATAGCGTAATAATATATATGATATGAGCCGAGTGAGCAACCTGAACCCATCACATCCACATACATCTATGATCTATCACGCTCAGTAGCATGTAGAAACCAAAATTACAGAAATAGCGAACAACTAGCAAATCAAACGAACAGGGGGAGGGGGGGGGGATAGAGACTGCTCACAGTTCTGAGATACGGGACTTGCGAAACTCTTCCCTGATTTGGGACCTCCAGTTGTTGGCACCGCCAGCACCTCCTCCTCCATCAAAGACCACCTCCATCACAACCGGGTTCGAAGCTTCGAACTATGGCTTCCTTCCGGACCGGTGTCCCAAAAGGAGATGGATGTGACTATTATATAGCAAAAGGTTGTAACGCCAGTGACAGCTATTGCTCAGCGCAAAATTACAAAGGTCATTGCGTACAGTTCACACTAGTTTGTCGCCTTTTCCTTATAATCGGGATGTTCCAAATTTGGCTTCACAAGCGTTACTTGGCGAGATGGCTGGCAATAAGTCTTTCTCCACTGAGCAGTAGACCCCACATATTAAATATTGGGGGAAAATGGAACCTCTGTTTTTCTCCCACCCCCACCTCAGTCTGCTTCTGTTTGTTCCTGGTGTTCCTAGCTTGACATGGATGCCATGTCACACAAAACCACCTAACAGGGAATGAGGTGGCAAAATACTTTGACATGAATGCCACACCACATCAAACCATGCACAAATACTTCCCTGGGATATAATCAGAAAGGGTTCATATCTGAGGGTGCACATTAGATGGTTTTGGAGTCTGCGGTGCAAATTAAACTGAGACAATAATAGTTAAGGCACCAAAGTAGACCTTTCCTTAGGGTTTCCATCTTCTTAAAATTTGAAGGTTAAACCCTACAACTATTTAGTTACTACTACTCTTTTACTTTTTACTTAATTATAAAAACTTCTATCTGATGCTTTATTTCATAGAGATCATATCAATGATTATAAAGGTTAGCTGAAAAGTAATATTCAAATTCACCTCCCTATATTTGTCATCATCCCACCATGCCCACTGACCAAGAAGTACTAACCTAAGAGAAATGACCAATACATGCCCCTATAAAATGACTTGCTACGACCACTTAAGCTCTTCCAAAACACTAAAAGTAGAAATAGAGAGTGGAAACATTGCATTTGATTACACTCATGATTATCTCCATGGACAATTGTTAAGAAAAGAAGATGCTTGAATCATGTAATGGTTACAGTGAAACAAAGGGAGTGCTCAAGTATCTGAACTATTGTCTCGATTGTGGTGCCTATCCTGAGCGTATAGATATCTCCAGTGACAAAATAAGGGTGAGCTGCAGCGCCATAGGCAATCAAAGTGGACCCACTGTTAAGTTTCCCACTACTAGTGGATAGTGTTAGCTTGACACTGTGAGATCAGGCACGGCATACTTTTGTATGGTCCCCTAGGCATATCTTGAGGCATGCAGCCATGCACACTGGAAAGATCCTTGACCGACTTAGTATATACGCTTACCCTGGTGTTAGTTAAATGCAGCAATTTATATACTCATGCAGTAGTGGACGGTAATAGGTGGGAGCCAAGAGCTCTTCTCAGATCAAGCCCAACCTGCATCCATCAGTTTGTCTTTTAGAGTAAGTTGGTGAGACTGTACACAAGTTGGTTTCCAGTAAGTGGGTTAATGATTGTGTGACAGTTCCAACACTAAACAATATGTTGTTTGTACTTTGTACTACAGAATCGCCATATCACTACAACATGAGCCAAACACTCATGGATATAACTCCTATTAGCTACAAGACTTTACCTACCTACCTACATTTTATCATTTATAGTGATGTTGGGCAGGTGTGTGGGTATCAGATCAGACACATATACCAGTCATACTTCTGTCGTGTCAAAAAGTTGGGAAGTTATTTACACATGTCTGGCAAGTTGATATATCTACTCATCAACATTTCCTTAAGGACAATGGTACCCTGAAACACTGTGAGCTAAAATGGTACAGTACAATTCCATGTGCTTGCTTGCATATTTTTGCAAGGCATAAGAAGCAGCGATAAAAGTTCCTCTGGCCGACCTTGAAGAATTAATTTGACAG